CTCTCTGTAAACCGCTTAGAGAGGGCTGAAAGCCCTATGAAGCGGTATATAAGTCTACTGCTATTACTGCTATATAATTTGAACAAAAGGCAGGTGGATTTAATAGTGCCCATAGCATGCCAGGCTGGACAGACATTTGAGTAGAAGGAGGAGAAACTTTCTGATCAAAAACAAAGATTTAACCTTTTTTTAAAGAAGAATTTTAAAGATCTGGTTTTTTTAACATAGCTTTTATGTTTAGCTCTCCCCTTTTTATCTTCTGCACATTTTGTATTTCTGCTCAGAGTTCTCATTTAGGAGATGTGAGGCATTCAAAATAGCAATAGCATTTAGACTTATATACCGCTTTACAGCCCTCTCTAAGTGATTTACAGTCAGCCTCTTACCCCCAACAATCTGGGTCCTCATTTAACCGGCCTCGGAAGGTGGGAAGGCTGAGTCAATCTTGAGCCTGGTGAAATTTGAACTGCCAAATTGCAGGCAGCTGGCAGGCAGCAGAAGTAGCCTGCAGTACTGCCCTCTAACCACTGCGCCACCGTGGGTAGCAGGGGTAGCAGCTTGCTTTTTCACGCCCCTTACTCCCTTTCTTTCTTTCTTCTTTAACCCGCGACAGCAACTGCTGGAGTGTGAGCGCTGCAGGAACTGTTATCACTTGGCCTGTCTTGGCCCCAACTATCCCACCAAACCATTCCGTAAGAGGAAGGGCTGGGTAAGTAGAAAACGTAGGGCGGTGTTTCTCAACCCTCTGCAACTTTTAATGTTTGTGGACTTTCAGTCCCCAGAATTCCCCAGCCTGCTATGCTGGCTGACTTTCAGTTCTAGGAGTTGAAATCCACATATCTTTAAAAAAGTGGCCAAGGTTGAGAAACACTAGAGTAGAGAATGAGAGTGAGTCAACTCTACAATCTTTGTTACTGCAGGCTCAACTGTCCCCTATATTGCAATTGTGGAATCCTTTGCTTTCTGCTTCCTTCAGATCTGTTCTGCCTGCATCCGCTGCAAAAGCTGTGGGACAGCGCCGGGGAAAAACTGGGACACGGAATGGTCCAGCGATTACAGTCTCTGTTCTGCCTGCTCTGTGCTGTACAATAAAGGTGAGCGCAGTAAAATCCTCTGAAAAGTTTCCAAAGTTTCCGTTACAGCAACAGCACTTTAGACTTACATACCGCTTCGCAGTGCTTTCACAGCCCTCTCTAAGAATCAGCCTTTTGGCCCCCAAAATCTGGGTCCTCATTTTACCCCAGTGGTAGGATTCAATTTTTCTTTTACTACTGGTACTGTGGGTGTGTCTTGGTGGGCGTGGCATGGCTTTGTGGGCGTGGCATGGTGTGGTGGGCATGGCAGGGGAAGGATACTGTAAAATCTCCATTCCCTCCCGATCAACTGGGACTCAGATGGCAGGGAATAGATGGCGCGGGGCCATCTATTCAGAGGTGGCATTTACCGGTTCTCTGAACTACTCAAAGTTTCCGCTACCAGTTCTCCAGAACTGGTCAGAACCTGCTGAATACCACCTCTGTTTTACCCACCTCGGAAGGATAGAAGGCCGAGTCAACTTTGAGCCAGTCAGGATCAAACTCTTGGCAATGGGCAGAGTACACCTGCAATACTGCACTATCACCACTGCACCACTGTAGCTCATCATTGTTATCAATCCAACGCTTAGCATTAAAGGGACATCATTAAAAGGACATACGGTTAATGAATTTATGGACCATTAGTCTCTGGTGCCAGCCCATCCTTTTAACAATTAACCCAATACTCGCTTTCCGAGGTAGTTCTTGCCTATGCATTACCTGTATTTTTACAGAGATGTAGATTACTCCTACCAGTTTCCCCCCATATGAAAAGCCTTATAGGGTAGGTTGGGCTAAGGATGGAAGGCTGCTCCATTGACTTGAACCTGAACGATGTAACTGCAGAGAGATTAAAATATATCTGTGCTCTTACAGCTGCTGTGAAGAATATCGGAAGCCGCTTTTTATAACTTGGTTGTTTTTTTGGGGGGGGGGGATGTTCTTCACCTTTTTTCCTACCAGCTTTTGCTTTTTTTTTTTTCTTGATTTTTTTCTTTTTCTTTTTCTCTTTACTTTATATTGCTTTGTATTGGTTTTTAATCCGCTGGTTTAAAAAGCTTCAATGACCATGATATGTAAAAATTTATTAAAAAAAGAATAAGACTTCAACCTCGGTCTCCTCAGTTTTAGCCCACATTTTCTCCATTCCACCAGACTACCTGATTTCAGGTGGCAGGCAAAAATGATTTAATTTTTAGGCATTTTAGTTTTTGTTCTGTTTCTCTACACTGAGGCACAGTTACAATTCTGCTTTATGGCCCACAGCTTCTGTTCTGTTTTTGTAGGTGTTCCAAGTTTTTTGTTAGCTAAATGTTGTTTGGATATTGAAGTACAGGATATCAGTCAGTGATGGGATTCAAATAATTTAACAACCGGTTCTCTTCCCTAATGATTTCTTCCAAGAGCCACTTCACCAAACTACTCAGAAAGTTAACAACCGGTTCTCCCGAAGTGGTGCGAACCGGCTGAATCCCATCACTGGTATCAGTGGAGCAAACGTTGAAATCTTAACCTTTGTTTCAGAAGCCGGATGACTACA